GATGCTGTCCTTTGAAAGGTTTATACAGGAATAATTAGTTAGAATGGATGCATTGCCAAAGATGCCTGTGAGTTGTCCTAATTGGGTGTTGTAGTGTGCCTTTCCCAACTATCTCCTCTCCTTAGTAGGTGACAGGGTTGTCAGCTGTGGCTTATTTAGTCTTCTAAGGGCCTGAATCAGGATTAATAGCATCTTTTCACAAGAAAGAGTTCAACTCTTGATTCACTCCAGTGTGGTGATGCTAATTTTTCAATATGGAGAATGCTCTTTCTTCTTGTATCAAACATGGTCACTTCTATAGAACAAACAGGGGCAGAGTAAGCATTTAGAGACTTCTGACTCCTAAAGTCACTTACTGCAGCTTTAAATTTGGCTCCCAAGAATAGGATTTCAAAACTTGAAAGTTTGCACCCTTTTTATACCAGCTTGCAGCGTTCAGACTGTTGGAACGTCTGCACCGACCTGTATTTCACACCGACCAGCGGATGGCCTGGTCTGCCCCAGCTAGGGCAGTTAAGTCCTACTGAGAGAGTGGCAGCACTCGGCAAAGCTGCGTTACTTTCAGACTGGAGCATGAACGGGTCAAGATTTGACCAATGTGTATGGGTAATGCAGGTGTCTTCTGCCATGCTGTAAAACAGATTACTCGTACTTTGTGATAAGTACAAGTGGGTACTTTGTACCCCCAATTATAGAATCGTTTAGGTTGGAAAAGACCTTTAAGATCGAGTCCAACCGTTAACCTAGCACTGCCGAGTCCACCGCTAAACCATGTCCCTAAGCACCACATCTACAGGTCCTTTAAATACCTCCAGGGATGGCGACTCCATCAGCAGCAGCTCTTATACGAGCTACTGTCCTGCCCTCCTTCCCCCCACACTTTCTGTGTCCAAGACCTCATTTTCATTTTGGTGCTCAGCAAGGGGTACTTAGTACCCTACAATGCCTACAAAGCATTTTCTTTAACAAACGAAAAAACCTTTGCTAACTTCCAGTAAAGACCTTTCCTGTAATGGCTTCCAAAATCCTGGATGAAATGGGTATGTAGCTTTGAGGGAGGTACAGTATACGGAAATGCATGAAGATGGCTTTAAGTGAACCTCAGAATGTAAAGTAGGTCCCTTCATCAGTCAGATGATTTTGAGCTGCCTGGGTGATCTCCCTTTTTCCGTGCCACCAAGCCCCCAAGTTTTAGTTAGATGCCATTTTTGAACTTGTACTGGTTTTAGTTAGGGGTTTTATTAAAGGCTTTGCTCTCCTCTTCATTTTCTTCAGTGGTAGCAAAAATTCTGTTTGTGCTGCTTCACCTCGCTCACCTGGAGTGCAACCCAATGTACCTGACGCTGCTTGTAACTGAAAGGCTGGTTTACTTGATTTTATCCAGGCTTACAGCTTCATGCATTTTAAAAGCCAAAGTAGGCAAGTTTACTTTGCAGTAACTACAGATACTCTATGTACATAGCTTTTTTTACAAAGGGATGTCTGATTTCCTTCTATTCTGGAAATACCAATTATAGTTCCCTGCTGAACGGGGACAAGAGAAGAAATGCCTTTTCTCTTTTTACGTTTGATGGGGACTTAGCTTGCATGCACATCTTAATCCTGGGGTAAAGGCATATGGTAAGGGCTCATTTGTACAGTAAAGAGTGGCGTAAAGAGGAAACAAAAGACACGCAGCCCCTACTAATGTGGACGCTGAGCTCCGCAGCATCACAATTGTGAAGCTTCTTGCACAGGTTTAAATCCTCAAGCTGCATCCTGTTTAGAGAAAGTATTTTCAATATGCTTCCAATAGGAAGATCACTTGCAAGTAAGAGCCTTAACTCCATCTTTAAAGTTTTTTTTGTCCTTAAAGTTTCTTTCACAACGAGTTGTATACAGTTCATGCAAACTGCAAATATTTTTTTCCACAGCTCGCTCTCTCGTGTTAAACTTGTATATCTTACCAGAACTCTGTTTCTGTAACATGCTTTTTGTGGTGTTTATTATGATACCACCTCACAAATGTAATTATTCTGTTTGAAACCAGTGTTAAGTGTCAAAACGTAAATAAAACCATTGTTCTCATTACTGCCTTACGGCACTAACACTAGATGTATTGGTTTGACTTCTTGGAGCTTTTTAGAAGAAACCAGCAGCTACTGTAACTTTTGCAGGTGTGTTCACAGATGAATACTTAAACCAATATTGCAATTTCCTTATCACTGCAAACGAGGAAGTACTCTTTAGTGTAACTTTGATACACATCCATTTGTACACACTTTCAGATTTTGTGGCTGCTTGGCCCCCTAGGCGCGGGGGTAGATCTGGGAACCTGAATCGTGAATTTAAGACAGCAGCACCACAGAAAAGGTTGCGTTTTTCTAGGTAATTTTCTTTGTGTGTTGTAGGATTAAAGCAAGACTGGTCTGTCTCTTTATGGTCTGCCTTGAGTAATCACTCACTAGCACTGAGTAATGGAAAATGACTTAACACCAACTATTCCTTAGGAAGTAAAACTGTATTCCAAAAAAAAGAGCTGGGCTCTCTTCAATTGCACACTTTAGTTGAAAAGTGGATTTCATAACATAAATGCAGCCAAAGTGATACAAAAATTTCTTAACTTGCTGCTTTTTCTATGTGAGTATGACGGATGCACTCGACTCCTTAACCAAACTAACTGTAGTTTGGTTAGTTTTGGTGAGGGACAGCTCACAAAAATATACCATCGTTGCATCTGAGTAACTCGCAGTTTGGATCTGACATTTCACCAGTCTTAAGAAACAAACCACAAAAACACCCAAAACCACAACTGACTGAACCAAAAAGCTTCCCTTTGCTCCTGTGAAAGAACACGTTAGCTGAGGGAGGGACAGCAAGGGTACAGCAGGCATTCAACTTCTTGGAAAGGAAAGAAGTCTTATGTTCCACTCTGTCCTTCCATGTTGACTGTTTCTCCTTGTGAGACCAAAAGGAAGTCAGGGGAGAGACAACGGGTAAGATAAGGGAAAGGGATGAAAAAATAGAGGTGAAGCGTGGCGCAGGTGATGGGGCACTGGAGGGATGGAGGGTGTGAAGAGTGCAGGGGGCGAGCAGGCTCGCTGGGAGCAGGTACGGCGGCTCCTCAAACTCCCGGAGGAGCTGAGAGTGAACGTCACCCACTCGTGTCAGCTTCAGAGTGAACGTCACCCATTCATGTCAGCTTCAGAGTGAACATCACCCACTCATGTCAGCTTCCCAGGACGGAGCCTGTGACTTGGTGTGACATTGCTTCCTCTTTGCCAAGTTTAACTGGAAGAGAACAGTAACTCGTACTCCTCTGTCACTGCCTTTGAGGATGAGTGGGGATGGCCGACACTCCTTTCCCTTTGTCGTTTTTACATCTGGGACCACTAAGCAGTGCCAAACTTGTTAAAGCTCCTCTTCTGTTTTCTCTTAAGGGATCAGAAATCTGCAATGTTCTGCAGTCCTTCACTACAAAGTGAGAGAGGACCAACGTGGCCCTTTTCACTCTGTGATACAGACCTTTTGCTGTCTGAAAAGCCTTCAAAAAGTATCCTCAGGCAAACTTCCGTGCAAAACCCAAACACGCACACTCGATACTCTCTGTACCGAAAAAAAAACCCCCTGCTGTCCGTGTTTCTCCTTCAAAGACAACTTTGAATCCCCCCCAAGTGACGCAAGTCTACAGTTACTTCCGAGATGTAGAAGTGAAACACGCCGGAGAGCACCCGGAGCTGCAACTTCTCCATGGTGCCTCAGCAGCTGCCGCCGCGCCTTCAGCAGGCGACATTGGCTCCCCTCGGCGGCGGGGCCGTGCGTTGCCTCCCGCCCCAGCGGCTGCCTCACTTTCTGCCACATGGCATGGCCACCTGCCCGGCGCTCAGCGGGGCCGGCTGCCCGCTTCAGCCATCTCGGCTCCTCCAGACGGGGCGGCCGGGCCTCGCCTGCGCAGGTGGGCACCGGGCCGGGCCTGGCCTTCCCGCGCGTGTCTTATCCCCGAGGGAGACGTTCCCCTGCGTGACTAATGGCTTTAACTTAGAGAAGGTGAACATAGAATCACAGAATCATTAAGGTTGGAAAAGACCTCTGAGATCATCGAGTCCAACCGTCAACCCAACACCGC